AGATCTACTTTCACCCAACTGTCAAGTCTTGAAATCAGCCGCGCCTGGGCGCAGGGCCTGTGCAGAAGGAGGAGAGCAGCACCTTCGAGACGTTGTCCTCAGAAGCGAGCGGGAAAGAGAGAGAGAGAGAGAGAGAGGGAGAGTGGAAAGCAAAACATATCTAATAAGAATGTGTAGTACACGCATGTATATATATATATATAACACACACACACACACATATATATATATATACATTATGTGTGTGCACGCACATGTCTACGTACACTTGCTTGAATACTCATGCCCAGATTGCCCCAACCAAACATAGACTGCCAAAAGCCCTGGACCGGCAGCCACAAGGGCAGTTTTCCGCTTTGCCCCAATCCCAGCAGAGCTGTAGTCGTACACACCTAACCATGGGGCTGGCCCCCTGAATGTTCAGCTCTTCTTTCCTCGTCACCAATACTCAACTAAAAGACCATTTTTGAAAAAGTGGTTTAATACTATGCTTAGACAGGAATGTACACAAACAGGGCAAGAAGAGCAGTACAGATCTCATTAAACAACGCCTCTTCGCCCGTCCTTCGGTTTCACCCGGCTCCCCCCCAACCTCTCGCTAGGCGGGGCGCCGCGTCGGCGCACCAGGCGCCGCGGTGCCGCAGCGCCAAGTTGCCCACGAGGCACGGCCAGTCGCCGCCGCAGGGCCCCCAGGCACCAGCCACGAAGACCGCCTCGAGGCGAGTCGAGGCCGGTGAGGGGAGCGAAGGGTCGTTTCCCTCACGAGGGTCGCCTGGTCTGTGGGGGGAATTCGTGAGCCGCGTGTTTTTCCCAGAGGGAGAATCAGGGAGGTCAGTGGCAACCACATGTTTTTCACAGAAGCAGGGGATGAAAAAGGAGAGATGTCCTGTCTTGACAAGTGGGTTTCGAAGGCTGCACACTTGCAACCACCTGGAAACAAAGCCTAACCTTTTGGTGGCCACGACTCAAGACAGACCAACGTTCGGAAAACAAGCGATGCACCGCAAAGTCCAAAGGCAGATTCGCTTTGCAACACCCAAGAGATCCCAGCTGAAGTAAACATGAGGTTGAAATTGGCCCATGCAGGGGGAACATTAGATTGGCCACAGTCATTTTTATCGCGTCCCCTTCAGAACATGGGAACCTGTTGGCAACTCTCATGTGTCCCTGGAAATTTGGGTGAGTGCCACAGTAAATCTGCACAAATGATGAAGGGCCTTCATCATGCGCGAGCTCGTTTCCCAGATGAACTGTATCTGTTGGTTTGGGGCACAGCTGGCTCAAGAAAAAGCCACGCCTTTTCTTTAGGGGGAGGGATCCAAATCCCACGGTAAATATCTGCATGTTTTTTTCTCGGAACTATGTCCAAAGCCTCAATTAAGAAGATCCCCACATAAAGGACCTACATTATGGCGAGGGACAAATTGTTGCGGGGGCCCTTCTGGTGAAAACTCCTTTCCAGACTCCGGGGCCCCTCTCAGCCTCTCAGGGGGTGACTGGGTGACTTCTGACCGATCCGACCTGCTTCTGCCGCACGGTCGGGGTGGTCAGGCGTGCACGCAGCTCCCCAACTCCCAGCGCCAGCGAGGAGGAGAGCCGCGACAGGAGCGGGGAGGGATCGTCCTGCCAGCGTTCAAGCCTCAAAAGGCGCCTCGGGCCACCCCCCCCTGCAAAGAAAACAACAAATCTGCAAATGTTGAGCTCCAAAACCTGAAATCATGGTGAGCTCGTTTTCCTTTCAGGTGGGCTTGCTATAACATAGGCCAACAAGTTGGTTCGCCTTGTTTAACTTCTTCAAAACTGCGGCTCTTTGGATGCCCAGCCCACTTTGTTAGCAAGCCCAGTTGGGATTTGTCCCTGGGTTAGTTCTACAAACTCACCCACAAAGTCGCACCCGTAGAATTTTGTTGGAAGACCTCTCCAGTTGCCTAGCGACCCTGGTAGAAAAAGAATTGGCACCATTTATTTTGTTTTGGTTGGATTCCACGTTTGGGAACCCAAAGGAAAGCGACACATGGAAGGAACTACAAACACAACCATTGAACAACTGGCTTCGTCTTTAAATAGGTTTTTCAAACCCTGCAAAATATGGTTTCCCTTGGGCGTGCCTTGCAGCAACCTCTAGAAAGAGCAATGCACCTAGCAGACCGATAGTGTTCGCGCCGGTTTCTCTAAAGTCGGCGTATCCTCCTGTGTTGATCGCCCAGTGGTCTGTTCATCAACTGGGTTGATAAACCCATAAGAACTTGAAGGACCCACCGGTTTCCCAATTCCTTGCCCGGGGTTCCCAGCAAGAGCAACCCAACAAAACACCCGCCACCCCCCACCCCCAACCCACCCCCAACCCTCCAGGTTCTCAGCCTTGATGGCCGCCAGGGCATTCACCAGGCCCTGCGCCGAGGTGAAGGCCCCCAGCCCCACAGAGCCGAAGTCCACAGCCTCGCCTGTACCGAATGCCGCGGGGGGGTTGGAGGGTTGGGGGGGTTGGAAGTTGGGGGGGATAGGGGTGCTATGGACGTTAAAGACCTCAGTTTTGCAGCCAAGAACCAGGCCTCCCGTTTCTCCGTAGTCCGGCCGCGCCACACTACGAGGCGAGGAGCAACCAAGAACCCAAAAAACAAACAGATGCCCAGGTGGAATCATCCAGAACCCTTCGGGCAAAGACCCCAAGGCAACCAGCTTTGGGGAACAACACAGCACCCTAAAAGAACTAGGTTGCAAAACAGACTCTATGTGTCCTAACGGGTGAAGTGAGGATGTGGGGGCCATCGCATTTCGCCAGCTCACTTCCTGAGTGGGCCACCAGAAGTCTAACACTTCTTGGTTGCCACTAAAATGGTCTTCCCAAACGGTACGGGGTGAGGTGTCGCCTGGAGGGGAGTTTCGGCTTTCCAACGCAAGTGAAACTACATTGCTTGACCCTAGGGGAGGCCAACTTTGACGTCCCCAACCTTGTTGAGGTACTGAATGACACTCTTGAACAAAACCAATGCTTGCCATTCGGCGAATGGGACAGTGTTGATTCTGCGAGCTCATTATTGCTGGACCAAAGGAGACATATGTCTGCTTCCCATTCCCCCACGCCCACCCCCAAATGCGCCTGGCAGGATCACCTGGAAATCCACCTCCAAAGCCCTCTCCTTGGAGGCTCCCAAAGACATGTGATTTCCGCAAACGAGCTTGCGCTGGCTCGGGGGGATCAAAACTTATGTGCAGGCGGCTGGTTGCTGTTCAACCATGTCTTGTTGGTTCTCAGTAGGACATGCAGCAACGCCCCTGCAAGCAATCCCTTCGTTTCACTTAAGGAGAGCCACCAAGATTTTGCCGAAGGAACTGCCAGCCCCAAAACGCGGAAGGGTTTGTGCCATCATGAAAGATGTAAGCTCAAGTTTGACCCAGTCTCCATCAAGTCCGCCAGCCGTCTTCCCCCGGAGTCGGGCACCGCGTTCTCAAGGACGGCTGCCCAGGTCATGCCATAGTCTGGCCGGCGGTTTTCCAGGTCACAAGGCTGAGTGGGATCGAGGGTTCGCTGTATCCATGGCAAGCCTTTCGAAGACCGCCATCGGATCCTAGTGAGCAGGAAATAACTCCAACTGGGTCTTGAATAGGGGGATATTGAAAAAGCACCCCTTTTGGCTTCCTTTGCGGGATGCTAAGAATTCTGGGCTATTTAGCACCCGGTGAACGGAGAAGCCCCATCAAAGCGTTGGCAGCCTGACTGCCGTGACGGTGCCTTTGGGCCTTGGGCATGTTGCGGTACCCTGATGTCCATTTGAGGGTTCAGGCGATGGCTTTGATATCCCTTGCCGTTTCATCTTTGTGAGCCGTGAACAGCGACAAACCGAGTCGAGGGCACCGAGGATCGAACTCGGGACCTATTGATCTTGAATCACCCTCATTTGAGTGCCTTTTTAAAGGAAACTCACTTTTTACAGTGGCCAGAAAGGTGATGCTTCAGACCACCAAATGGGGAACAATATCCCTTGCCCCTGCCCATCTGCAGCTCGCCTGCAATGGCAACACCTGAGACGGCAGGAAGCCGGGGGTTGAATTAGAGCACACCAAATGATCGGGAAGATACAATCATGCCTTCCGCCAGTCGCAGGCGTGTCCGCCCACTTCCAGGTGTCAAGGCCTACCTTTTCCTGACCAAGCTGCCTGAGGCGCGGGTGGGACTTGTTTTAGCCGAATGTAACATGCAGGCATCTCCGACAAGAACTCTCGAACGCGAGGTGATTTCGCTCCAGTGGAGAAAGACATCTCCTCAACTCACTTTCATGATGGGAGGCAGCAACTTCGCTCGACGAGAAGCAGTGAGCCCCTGCGTAGCCCCTGCGTTGAGCCCCTGCTGGCTGGTCACCGGTGCCTTCAACATCCTAAAGATCTAACCACGGCTTGTCCACCCAAACTGCCGTTTCATTCCTCCCTATTCATCAGTCAACTGGGTTTCCTGGTCCGCTCCGAACTCGCAAAACTGACCCACTTCTGTTCAGCCAAACCCGCTGCTGAACAACGGCCGAAGCTCTAAATAGTACTTTTGATTCCTTTGCCAGTGGAGGAACAACGACTCAGCCCACTCCGAAAACTGTACATCGCCAGATTTTCCGAGGCACGCCGAGGGTCAATGTCCAAGGTCTCCCCAATGGAATCCTGCATGAAATTCTTGCTTTTGGAGTGCAGTTGCGAACCCCCGCGAAAGCCAGCGGTGCTCTTGAGCGCCGGAACTCACTCGGGAAAAAGACAGTCCTGCAAACTCTCCTCGATGTTGGGCATCGAGTCGTTGGCGCCCAGGACCAGCAGCGTGCTCTCGATGGTCTGGACCTACCATCGGCCCAGCCGGGGTTTGTTTGAGTCAACCTCAAAAGGAAAGCCTTTGGAGGCGGCTAGGGTGGTGATGAGCGGATTGGTGGTCTTAAATGCAGCCATGATCCCAAACTAACATTGCAAGCTGGGGGGGTTGGCATTCAAGGACCGTTCCGTTTCTCGGGTGCCTCCTCCGGCTCGCTCATCACCTGCACCAGCGGATCTATCCTGCCAAGCGCACCAGGAACACCCAAACCAATATGTAGGTACTAACCTATGTGACCGTAGAACTGAAAAGGGACTCCTAAGAGGGCACTCCTAAGAATCCTGACGCCGGCCGGCCCGGGGAAATGAGTAGCCAGTCACAAAGGTTCCGTTGAACAAAGTGTGTACATGCCCATGCGGCACACGTGATGGGCCCATGCATGTGTCACAACCGGGTGGACCAGTTAGAATGGCTAGTAGCTCCAGTTCCTTGGTCGCCTCTGTAGGGAAATCCACATTGGAGACTTACTAACCCCGGCTATCCATAACTTGCCAAGTCGGGCGCTCCTTCAAGTGCCAGCTAGACCCCTTTCAACATGAAACCAAAAGAACATCGTAAGGAAACTGGCCATTTGGAAGGAAACCGACTGGACACAGTGCTGGGAAGAAAACTTGAGAGCACACGAGTTTTGAGATGTTCCAACTTGTGCACGTCCTCGTCATTGTCGTGGTGCTCTGAGTTGAGCTCGTCTGTGTCAAGCTGGTCTCGGTGGAGCTTGTCCAGGTTCGGCTGCTGGAGGTCGTCGTCCTCCGATTTATAGATGTTCCCAGGAGGAAAAAAAGCGACGATGCACACCGTAGTTTGTGCAAAGTTGGCAGGTTAGAGACTGCCAACCACGAATTGTTTTTGATTTATGTTTTTGGATTGTGGCCCATATGCTGCGAACCTTTCAAAAGAGACCCAAAAAGTTGGGTGCCTTTTGCAAAGATTCTAGATCATGTTTCGCTCACGGCTGAACCGGTCGCGAAAGGCAGAACAAAAACGTAAAAACCATCTTAGAATTAGAGAGTGTCCCTAACACCCCTCTCTGTGATTGGCATAGCGTCCCTCGTTTTGAAACCAGACTAAAACGGTGCTGCGTATTCGTTGCATGCTGCAATGCGACAAGCAAAGCAAAGCAAAGCCAAGCAAGGAAGGCCACACAGGAAGCTCCGCCAACTTGATTTTCAGAGCTCCCGGCCTTGGGGGGCCCCCAGCTTTACACCTGGCCTCAAAAGGAAGAGCTGGCCAAATCTATCCGTTGAATCATTGGGACATGAGTAAGGGGGCCTTCACAGGTGGAAAATAGCCCCTTTGATTCTTGGATACCATGCTGAGGTTTCCAAGCATCCGCTTTGCAGCATGCGGCCTACCCCACCGACTCCGACACCTCCAACAGGCCTGGTGGAGCTGGAGGTGGCTGTGGAAGACACCGTGGTGCTGGAGCTCGCGCTGGTGGAGGTCCCGGTGCCCGAGGTGGTGGTGAAGGTCGCGCTCGTGCTGCTGGACACCTCTCCGAATCGCTGGTTTCTGGATATGTCCAACCCAAACAGCACCCGAAAAAGGAACATCGCCGGAACAAATCGCCCCAAATGAGGTCCGAACCTGCTTCTGCTTAATTTTACCTCTTTTCTCCGCTTTGCCGTTTCATGGTCTAAAAAACAAGTTGGGGGCACGAAAATAGTTCTGCAAGCTGCACGGCTCCAGATCCCGGATATTGCGCCCCTGGCTCCCCTCAACCAATTCGAGGCATCCCGTTTGGACTCGCGCCGTGGCGGTGGTGGATGTGCGAGAGGTGGTGGTTGCCGTGGTGGTGGAGGAACTGCTGGTCTTTGAGGAGCTGCTGGTGCTGGAGGAAGTGCTGGTCTCTGAGGAGCTGCTGGTCTTGGAGGTGCTGGTACCTCAAGAGCTCCCGCAACAAGTGACGCCGGGGCAAAAGCTTCCCATATCCCATTCTGACACTGGCACCACGAGACGTTTCCTTTCTAAGGAAGCCCTGCCCTGGCGCTGTCAAGGCCCATTCTGAGGCAAGCCTTTCACCGACAAACAAGGGACAATGGGGAAAACTAAATTGTAAGGTAAGTCAGGCAATGTATGCATGTGTGCTGGACTCCCGGCCCATTCGCCACACCTCTCCCATCTTGGCCAGGCGCCAGTCCGGCTAGTGGTGCTTGAGATGGTGGTCGTTGCGCTGCCTCACTTGTGGAACTAGGCGTCGGGAAAACAAAAGGATGTTTTTTTTTAGAAATCTGTTCCCGGCTAACTGCTACGATTCACGAAGAGAATCCCCCTTGATTTGTTTTGGGAAAACGCATTTCTGTGCGAAAAGTTTGGGCCAATGACTCAATGGTGGCGTTTGCCCCCGGCCAAAAAACATGCGAATGTGAATAGCGTTTGGCTGGTTGGTGGGGCATCTATGTTTTCTGCGTAAGGTAAAAAATCCAACCCATCAGAATTCAAGAGAATGAGACCAAGATTCATGTTCCCTGATGAGTGGAACAGGGTGTGTTCCATTGCGGGGACCCGGATCACTGGTGCCAAATCTTCCCATGAACTTCCCGCGCAAAGTTTGTGTTAAATGGGGAGCCTCGTTCCAAAGCTCCCTCAGCCTGTACCAAGCAAAAAGAACAAGTTCAGATTCCTGTGCACGTTCAACTCAGCGAAGCTTGACACATGTTGGCCTCCTGCAACATGTAAGTGTGTTTGCTTGTTGGTGAAGAAAAACGAGAAACTACAAAAGGTCAAAATGATTGGTTCAGCCTAGCAAGAACTTAGTGACATATATATATATATATGTCTATATGTCACATATATGTATGTATATGTGTGTACACATACATGTGCGCGCGTGCGTGCGTAGTCATACACGATCCATTTGCACATGCATATACAGAAGCAATTGTATGTGATTTAAGCAAACCTATGCACAGAATGAAGAAGTGTACATCTATATTATAAATATATATATATATATATTTATGTATATGTGAAAACATTTGTGTATATATATATATGTGTGTGTGTAAGTGTGTGAGTGTGTTAGTTGCATGTATTTGCGACTCTTTGCTTTGGTCGCGCCCAAGCCGCTGGTCGTCTCAGTGCTGGAGCTCGTGGTGCTGTGCGTGCTGGTCGTGGAGGAGGTGATCGAGCTGGTGCCGCTGCTGGAGCTGCTCGTGGTGGAAGACCCGGTGACTCGCGGAGAAACGGCTCGGCGTGGCCAAACGCGGGGTGGGAAGTTCCAACTCCCAAAAAGAGGAAGCTGGCAATTGTTAGCGTCCATCTGACCTGTTCGCGGTCTTGTCCGGGGCCGAATCACAATCTGTAATCCGATTAATCCCTGTTCTGGTCCGTCATCATCTCAATCCGCAATCCGCGCTGCAAAGTGCAATTCGAAACCGCATGCTGGGGCATTGAAAACTTGTGTAACCCATAATCCGCAATCCGTACAACTCATAATCCAATCCGCAAACCGCGTAATCCGCAATCCGATTTTCATGAAAAAGCTTTGAACAAGCTAGTCCGCTACAAACCTGAAACAAGGGATCCCTAAGTAACACGGTGAGCTTGTTTTACCCCCAGGCGAGCTTGCCATAGTGTTCTTTTCTTCTTTAAAAAAATGTGCAGTTGAAGAACATGGGTATGATGGTGTGGTGTTTTTTCTCTCTCTAGGCTAGAGGGCGGTAACAAGTTTGCACCGCCGGGAACTCCTGGAACTCTGGAACCTTGCCTGGAACCCTTCCCTGGAACCCTGCTTGGGCCTGCGTGCTCCAACATTTTTGGAACACCCTGCTCGGAAAGGTCTTCCGAAGTGAAGCCTGCGTGGAAAATCGTGTAGGAACCTTAATGCCCTGGAATGCTGGATGTGATGAGGCATGCTTCTTGCCCACGGCTGACACATCCGCATACTTGACGTGCACGGTGGCTACTGCAAACGCACATGCACCCACCCCATGCGCGGAAAACTTGAAGATGTTCAAGCTTCCTCCCTTGTGCGGTGGTCTTCATCCCCCTTTGTTTCCTTTGACCCTACACGTTGCCTCACCATGAGTTCGGGTCCCGATTTGGCTTGCGACAGCATCCGCCTGAGGTGGTGGATGTGGTCTGTGTGGAGGTCCGCGTGTTGGTCTGGGAGCTGGTGCTGGACGTGGTGCCCGTGCTGGTGCTGCTCCTAGTGCTCGAGCTGCTGCTGGAGCTACTCGTCGCCTTGGTGTCGAGCCACATGTTGGAAAGACCGCAGACTCATCAACCTCGCGTGGTGTTGTGCATTTGTTCTCCAAGGTGCTACCCCCAGCAAAAAGTGGAGGATGACCTCTTAAACGGGACAACCCCCCGCCCCTTTCATCAACCAGAGCCCTCAGGCACCCTACAGAAACCAGGGGCCAAACTCCCTGCTGCCTGAACGTGAGGCTGGGAAAGGTCGGAATGTGGCCCCCTCAAGCAGTTGAAAATTATCATGTACGTTCCCTGGGCATCGGGCCGTACCATGTCCGAGGTTGAAACACGGAGGATATGCCTGAAAACGCGTTGCTCCTTTTGCGCAGTTCGGAGGGCACCTGATTGCTTTCTAAATGTCCTGCAGGGTCCTGTGTTCATAAATAAGCTGATGGGCAGCTGCAAGGGATCGCGGCAAGGCTGCCCGGAATGTAGGTCAGGCTTCCGTATAGGCATTGGCAGAGGCTGGGGGATGCTCAAGGCGCCTATCATGGAGATTGAAGGAGTTGGATGGGTGTGCCCTCCTACTTGCCATGCACATCGGGGAAAGCCATTGAACGGGCATCCTTGTCAGCCAAAAGGCAAAGCTCAAAACAAAGGCATTCACTCGAAGTTTATTCCTGGTGGGTGCAGCCATACGGGTGTGCCAATGGTTGTGAGATGGCCACTGCATCAATCGCTGGTTTTGCCCTGTTTAACCTTGGAAGTGATTTGCGGGTGTAGTGGAGAGCTTCTCAACTGATGGGAGCGAAGTGGGTTGCTCTTTGCTCTGACCTTTGACCTCGAACTCTTGGAGCAAACTTGCCATCATTCAGTTTTCCACCAAGGCTGCCGAAGCCGTCAGATTGGGCAGTGGAGAACCACCAGAGCCCACTTCCGAGCTCCTTCAGAGTGAAATCCGCCCCAACCGAAACCTCCAAAGCGGCAAGCGCCGAGAGGCCGTCTCCGTGGTTCGCGTGGAGGTGCCGGAGGAGGTGGTGGACGTTGACGAGCTGCTGGAGCTGAGGCTGCTGCTGCTGGTTTCGCTGGTGCTGGACGTCCTGCATCCAAAAAAACCCGCGAAACGCGCGGCTCGGGTGTTGGCCGGTTTCTGAAACACCCGCTGTGCAGGCTCTTGTTTTCCTTGTTGGCCCATGCAGCCCCAAATTAACGAGCCAGCTTTCCCCAATGTGCATATGTATATCAAACAAATATATAGATAGAACACGTATACACATATATATATAGCGCACATATATGTGACATACCGACAAGTGTGTACAGTGTATATATATATATATGTGTGCGTGTACATTATACGAGTCAATCAAAAATATACGTTAATACATAAATATCAACGTATATACCCACACACACACATATATATATATATATGTATGTATATATATATGTATATATATATATATATAGATGTGTATATATATATATATATATGTGTGTGTGTGACGTACACGCGTATACATACATACAACCCCCGTCCATTTCTCAGTTGCCCGGGCCTGGAACTGCTGGAGCTGGATGAGCTGCTGCTGCTCAAAGAGCTGGTGCTACTCACCTATCGTGCTACTCACTTATCGTTTTTCGCGGGAGCTCGGCCTTGAGGGTGCACGTCTAGGAGTGCCTTTTAGGTTTTTGTAGGTTTCGCCTGTCTTCCCTTATAGGAGTTATAGGTTATGGGTTTCATAGAGAGCCCTAGGTTCAAGTCAAGAGCTGGAGAACCGGAAGGTCCACTTTTCTGACTGGGGATGAGTGGTTCAACAGCTAAACCCTGGGCCCCTCGAAAGGCAAAGTCGAAGGGGCAAGCTTCCACATCGCTTTGAAGATGTTTCGCGGAGGGGCACCTTTTTTCGGCACGCGTGGAAACTCACAAGCTTGGTGCCCCACACAACGAACTCTTTCCTTGCCTTCCAGACACACGGATCGTCAGCGTCCAATCTCTATGAAAAGTCACCACCAAAGGAAACCGTTTGGCGATGCTTAAACGAGCTTGAAAGGAAACTTCAGGAACTGCAGTTGGAAGAGGCCTTCAGAGCACTGTTCAGGGAAACCTGCAAGCGGGAGGGGGCGCGGGATCACTCCTGGGTAACATTCGACACACACCCACGCTTTACCTTGCCGAAGCCGAGGCACAGAGGTGCTGGTGGTGGTGGTGCTGCTGTGTGTCATCGAGCTGGTGCTGGAGGAACTGCTGGTGCTCAAGGTGCTGGAGACGGTGGCCTTAACTCGAAAGCTGGAGGGGTTGAATGGGGGAGAAAAACCAAGCCAGTGGCGAAAAAGTGACGAAGTTGAGAGTGCTACTGTCCCTAGATCCGGACGGCTCCGCTCCAGGACGCGGAGGAAAATCAAACAACCATCCCAAAGGGCCACTAATTAAAAAACAATGACAAGCGGCAGAGCTGGAGGACGAAGAGGACGTCGTAAAAGACGAAGATGAGGTGCTGGAAGAGGTGGTGCTGGAAGAGGAGGAGCTGGAGCTGGTCTGGGTGCCGGTGCTTGTGACGGTCACTGTCCTTGGCCATACGCCCCTACCTGGTCAAAAGGGGAAATCACGAAAACACAGTTGTTTTTTTTGGTTGTTTTTTGTTAACTTCTTTTTTTTTTTAATAAAGGCATTTGCATGCTAAGTCTGGGCAATGTGTCGAGCTCAGGGTGCTGGTGGTGGTGGTGCTACTAGTGGAGGTGCCTGTGGATGTCCAGGAGGTGGTGGTTTTGGTCTCGGAGGTGCTGATGGAGGAGCTGCTGGATGAGCTGGAGCTACTCGAGGAGGTCGAGCTGAAGCTGGTGCTGCCCTTAGGCCGCCCGGCTTGTGAGCCAAACGGGGGACGTTCTTCGCGTCGTATCCCCAAAAAATGGACGGTACCCGGGGGAAAAAAAAGAGAAAAAAGAGAGCAAGAGCAACAACATGCCAAGACCACTGCGAATAACAAAAGAAGATATAACACAAAGCACCACCACAGATAAGAGAGGATCAAACGCGCAAACTGAAACTGACATGAAACAGAAGATATAACAATACTACAAAATGTTGTTGAACATCATGTACACGAATTAGGAATATGACAGGAACAAGACATATTGAACACTTGAAAAAAGTGAGTCAGTCAGCTTATAAAGTATAGTCCAACAATTGAAATGTGTCAAAGGTCTGATTCCAAATGGTTGAAGTCCAAAAGTTTAAAGTGGGAACTTAAGCTCACATCTTTGACTCATGAAAAAATATGTCCCCTGCTAACGCAAACCCAAAATAGTACCAAGAAGGGTCCAAGGGCAGTGGTGGAGCTGCTGGAGCTGCTGGAGGAGCTGGAGCTGGAGGTCAGGCTGGTGCTCCTGATGGGACAGCGTCGTGACCCATGACCCTTTGTCACTGGGGTATCACCGGCTGAGGGCCTAAAACCCGATGTCCCACGACCAGATTGCTATGTGCATGCAGGGGGAAACAGGTCTTTGCACTTGAGTGAATTGGAACTAGAAAGAGGCCACACTTGTGGCCTTGTGGCTCCCCACGGCAAGGCCCGTTGCTTCAAACAGTTCCCTGGGGCTCCTTGAGGTGCTAGAGCTACTGGAGGTGGTTCCTGAGGCGCTGCTGGAGCTGGAGGAGCTACTCACCGAGCTGCTGCTGGAAGACGTGGTGCTGATGCTGGTGCTGCTGCTGGTGCTCGCAGTACCTCAACGCACAGCCTGGAAATCATAGGAGTGTCAACGTGAACCTCTAAAAAGGGCAGGCCAACATGGGAAAGCCCAAAAAGGAATATCTACCTTGGAAAAAATGGGTGTGGACCGGACCCAAAAAGTGCGTGTCATTTTGGGCTCCCCTTTGAACAAACATGAAAAAGGATACCCTTTGAAACATACAGCCGCGTCACTGGCAAAACATGGAAGTAACAGTTGATCAAATGTTGGAACCTTGACAAGAAATGGTTGCCAACATGGGGGTTGGCCAAGAAAGGTCAAGAATAATATGCTTGCTGTGGCCAAGCGCTTGTAGCTGAGGAAGATGTGGTGGTTGAGGAGGAGGTGCCTGAAACCGTGCTGCTACTGCTGGTGCTGGTCTGGGTGACGCTGGATGTGATAGACGTGGAGGATGTGCGGCTGGATGTAGTCGAGACACTCGTCGTTGAGCTCGTGCTTGAAACGCTCGACGTGGCTGTGGAGGAAAGGCTAGAGGAAGTGGTTTTGGTGGTGCTGCTGCTGGCAGTTGTGGTTTGGCTCGTGGTAGACGTGGCAGTCACCGAGGTGCTGCTCGACAAGGATGTGGTGCTCAATGTGCTGCTCGCAGTCGAAGTGCTGGAGATGGTGTTGCTGGTGGTTACCGTCAAGCTGGTCATTGAGCTCGTTTTTGATGTGGTGCTACTCAGTGTGCTAGATGTGGTGTGCGACGTGAGCGTGGCCGATGTGGTGGTGGTAGCCGTTGTGCTGGCAGTCAGGGATGTTGCGGTGGAAGAAACCTGGGTGCTAAATATCCGCGATGGGAAATAAATAACGCATCGCTATGAAGCTCCCTTTTGGAAAAGCTCATGTATAAGGCTATTCAGCACCTAGAAACCGTGGCTGTGGAACTGGTGCTGCTCCCTGTGCTTGTGCTCGTGCCAGTTGTCGTGAATGTTGCGGTCGCAGATGTTGAGCTGCCCGTCCCCGTCTGTGTTGTGACCGTTGTGCTGGACAAGGTGGTCGAAGATGTGCCCGTGGCAGTGGCAGAACTGGTGCTCGTCCATGTCCCGGTGGTAGAGGAGCTTGCGCTAGACGTACTTGATCTTGTCTGCGTCGTGGAGCTGCTGCTTTCCTCACTTGAAAGGTCCTGGTATTCATGCAGAGTTTGGGCTCTTCACCAAATATGGTTGCCAAATGTTTCCGGCATGGGGAGGCAAACAGAATTCAATATGGTCGATTCTTGCTGAAACTAAGCGAGATTCCGTCGTGGTGGATGTCAAGCTGGCCGAGGTGGAGCTGCTCGTCAACGTCTTGGTCGACGTCTGTGTCTCGGACCGCGAGGTGGTCGACGGGGTGCTCGTGCCAGTCGCGCTGGTGGTCGCTGTGGAGCTGGTCGCGGTGCTGGATGTGGTGCTACTGCCTGTCCTTGTGGTCTCTGTGCGTGTGGCCGTGGAGGAACCTCAGTTTTTGTCCGTGGGGGTGAGATCTAGCTCATCACCCAGCCAGAAGGAAACTCATCTTAAATTGGACCAAAGAATGACGTTTTTATCACCCCACTTGGCAAGCGGTCAATCACCCTAGTTGGCAAGTCCCAAGGAAGATTTCAACCCACTTCAGGGATTTTCTATCTGGGGTAACACCAATCACCTGGGATGGCCATCCAAAACAAGACACCTAATCCCCCCAAAAAGGAGCCCAGCCATATTTGGAGGGACACCCAAGCAAGGCAGCTTAGCTTCGGGCTTGGGGGGAGGCTGCATTCTGTGAGCAAGGCAACCCCAGTCTTGGGCCCAGGTTCGCCAAACATCTTCAAGATTCCGTTCCGCACTTTGTCCACCCGAAACCTTCGAGAAAAAAACGGAGTGCGCCAACCCGATGGCCCTCCGAGGCGCTGGTTCTCGTGGTGGTCTTCGTGGTGCCCGTTCTTGTGGTGCTGCTCAGTGTGTGCGTGGTCCTCGTGCTGCTGGTTGACGTCCAGGTCGTCTGAGTGGAGCTCGTGCCCGTCTGGGTCCTGAGAAAACCGCGCGTTTGATCCAAAAGCAAAACTGGCTTTGTTTGCCAACTCAAATACGGATAAAAAGCAATTTCGGCGGGTAACAAGTGAAAAACAACAGCTTGGCAGATCGGAGTTTTGTTTTTTGTTTCTTTCTCCTCCTTTGTTTTTTTTTTTTTTTTGGGGGGGGGAGGCGGAGGCGGAGGGGGTTGGGGGGTGCAACAAAACAACAACAAATGGGTGTTTACCCAAAATCAGTGGGTTTTTTTCCGAATTGAAATGGCTTCCAAACAGTATGGCGTGCATGTTGTACGCTGTAACGATGAACGGTGCACTTGGAGCATCTGTTGGGCAAACCCCCACCCGCAGTCAGTCACCCTCGCGAGAAGACGGTCCAAACACATCACCGAACGGCTGCTTCCTGACACGAGGGGCTACCAAGAATTACTCACTTGATCGGGCAATGACGATAGTGAGAACCATGATTTGATCACCACTCGAGAGGTCGTATTGACCACATTTTCAATGAAGGCTCGTTAGAGTTTGGGTTTTCCTCTCACTTGCCTGTGGGACCTCACAAAAGGCTGTCTCTTTGGAACCTTGATTGCACATTGAGAACGCAAAATAGGAATTTCAGCTCGATTCGCTTTGCAAGCGAGCGTTATTGGAGTCTTCATTCCTACTGAACCTGGATCCAACGAGCGTTGGGTTTCCCTCAAAAAGGGGGCGTGCAACTTCTGGTTGTTGGTCGCGCCCAGGGCTCGTCAGGGTGGCGGTGGACGAGCTCGTGGTCTCCGTGGTGGTAGTGCCCGTCTCGGTCAAAGGCGCGGGCGCCTCTACCGTGGGGCGGCAGTCGTCTACCCCGTCCCCATCCAAGTCGGGGCCCTGCGTGGGGTCCAAGCATTCCCGCACCTGGCGAGGCTACTCGGCGCCCAAAGAAAAGAACGCAAAGCCTATGGAAAACCGGGGAGGAAAATCAAAAAAAAAAAAACGGGAAGCCACTGCGCGGAAGGGGCCTTACTTGGATGAAGAACCGGGGAAGCGTCGTTGATTGGTTGTGTTGCACCCCCTGCTAGTTTTGCCCAAATATTCCACATCTTATTGTTGACAGATTGACTGCAAACAAAATCATTGCCAGAAAAATATCCTTCTTTGGCACCTTTTTAGGCTCCATGTTTTTTTGTAGGGGAGTACTGTGCCACCTTAGTTGTTGCATTCTACGTTGGAGCTGATCTTCTCGGCACCTCCTCTGGCTGCAGCACCGTGAGCGTTCCCCCGCCGCAGGCACAGCACGCCGTCAGAGCCGTGTGCCCTGCCCGGCGGTAGTCCTCGAAGGAGCCCCAGAACCACTGCCAGCCGGGGCCGTAGCCTCCTGGCAAAAGAGGAGCCACGGAAGGGCTATGGATGTTCATGGTCCGTCGTGGCCATGAAAGGCACAACAAGCTATCATGGCGCAATGGCCCCGTGTTCTTGAATCAGTGAATGAGCCTGGGCCCGTTTTCATAGCATCCAGACACTTTTCTTCTCAATCTCTGCTTTTGAGCGTTTGAGGTGTTGCTTTGAAAAGGGAACAAGAGGAAAACCACCCTTTTGGGGGGTTCCCCCGCTTGCGGCAGAACAACGGAGATATGGATGAACTACCAATCAAATGGTTCTGCAACGACTGAGGCAGAAAATGCAAAAGCATGGCTGACAAGCCCGGGGTCAAAATCGTCAAAATGGTCCAACAAGGCTGGTTCACGGGTGGCTGGACATCAGTCGGCAGCCGCCCGAAGACCCTGAAATGCAATGTTCAGCATTTGGAACCTTGACCAAAGATGGGCCGAAATGGGCAAGGCAAAAAGCAAAAAGGTCGATGCGCTTTGTAGAACCGAGAGCCACATGGAAATGTGTCATTTTCTGGGGACCCCCTCCAAACAAGTGAAATGGGGATGCATCTAAGTAAGGGGACCTGCAAAATGGGTGGCTTTCCTTTTGGCTTCCCGTTAAAACGCCACCCTCAAAATCAGCAAAACGTGTACATACGTATATATTCATTTATTTATTTATTTAACTATGTATTTGATCATTAAAAAAAATGATATATACATATATACATTGATTTATTTATGCGGCCCAGTTGCCATGCGCAGTGCAGTAGAGGTTCGTGCCGTAGATCGTGCAGGAGTCGCCCCAGGTGTCAACCCAGCCCGCAGGGTTGTCCATGCAGGTCGGTGGCCCCCCGCAGCGGTCGACTTAGCCGGGCCCCCATCCGCTGGGAGCTAAATGGAGGGTCTGCAAATTGAGATCGTCTATCCCTGTTTGGTTTCCTGCAAGGGCAACTTACAACTACATGCTATTCTGTCAATTGAGTGAGTACCTTCTGACGAAAACATAAACAAAGTGACCTCCGGAGGTTAGAAACGTCAACTGTCCACAAGATCTAAGGGACTCGGCTTCACTAAACACCCAACCAAACCAAATATGACAGTCAACTTCCGCATCCAAACATATCAAACCCCCGTCCCAGAGTGTGTCGAGGTGCCTGGATAGGTACCTCCGTCGGAGCCCCCGCAGGCCACCTCCCGACGTTGCTGTGCCAAGGAGGTGGGGGCGCAGCTGAGCTGCGTGCAAGGCCCCCAGTCCTCGGGTGACCCGAAGGCTTGCGGTCGCAAAGAGTTCAGGGCACGGAACGTTGGGTTTTGCCTTGTGGTTGGTGCGCGTGCGTGCGGGCTTGTAAGGTACTCCAGCCACGCGTACATCTTGCATCCTTTACTGCAAAACATGTCACCTGCGAGAAGGCCTCTGCAAAGGTAGGATCATCAATTAGTCGACACCCCCAAGCGCAAATCTATGTTCCAGGTTCCTTGTTCGTGTGAGAGGGTCGAGGGTCGACCCAACCCTGAAAGCCAGCAACTTCTTGGGGCTTGCTTCAACGCAATTACTCAATGACTTCCTCAACATTCAAGACGCGGACCTTGGCATGAGCAACCTCCAGTCCGCCTCACCCCCCTCTCAGGTCAGGCGCGCCAGCCCTCCAGGCATAGCTGAACACCTGCTGCGCCACCCGCACCACACCTGAGCGCCGAAAAAGCAAGTGCTTGCTTCCGCTAGGTCGGGGGGAAAGCTTTGAGACCCTGGCGAGGCACAGAAGAACACCAGTTTCTCGCAGTTTCGCGGCCCACTGGACACTGGACTGGAGAGCGTGTGCTTGGCTACATGATCGAAGCAAACCCGCTCCCATTAGAACTATCAAGACGACCTGCCTACGGCGAGATACTTGTCGTCAGTGAGCCAGGATACAGAGATTAAGAAAATCCAATTACGCTGCACCCACCCATTGCCTATGGCATATGGGTAAGGATCTGGAGCCCTTGGAGGAAACCAAACCGCGCACTGCACCTGCATCACCTGAAACTAAACTGCCTGTAAGACACATGCTGCGCCAATTGGAGACAAGTATCTATACTGATACATGGATGGACTGCATAGCTCGCTTGCATGTCGTTGCATTTGTTCATGAAAAGTCACGCGAGCTCGCGCCCCTAGACCTCCAGCGCCCCAAGAGGGAAAAAGACACCCTTGTTTGGTGGGCTGAATTTAGACGGGAACCCTACCCTGCCCAGAAAAAGGGCGAACAAAAACCGAAAAAGAGAAGCTGACGGCACCACCAGAGGTCTTGTGTCCGAAGGGCGTTCGGAGTACCAGTGCTGCGTGGCGTCCCAGGATCGCACCATGATCCAGGCCTGTCGGGACCTGCCGGCCAGAGAGGGGTCCATTCCATGGCCCGGCTGTGCGAAATGAGCCCCTGTGACTTCTGCCAGCGTTTCCATGACTACTGCATCACAAACAGAAACCGCAAAGGGGGCACCTGGCTGCTACTTTCTGGGCAAACGGATCCGGCCTGCACAAGTGATCTGCTGGTGGAAAGGGGGAAGAATTCTTTAGACCTTGAAAGTATGTCTGGCACCGCACCTGTGACCCTCCACGTGAAAGTCGTAGCTCGCATGGCCGCCGGCGGCGATGGCGCCGCCGGCCCCGGACCTCGCAAGAGCAAGGCCGCAGTCTACTTGCCTTTTGACCGGGTTCCGTGAGGGAGGCATTTTGGCCATAGTATGTCTTTTTGAGGGCCTCAGCTTAGTTTGAAGGGAAATATATCAAAAAGGGAAACCGCAAAGCTGACACAAATTGTTCGCCTTTATCATTCATCAGGTGATTGTTCGGTGATTGTTCAGTGCACATCCTTTCTTTAAGGGAACCCCGTTCGAACACCCCCACCTTTTTTGGGAAGGGGGGAGAGGAAGGGGCAAGATCAAGGAGGCCTCCCTGGCTTTTCCTCACAACAGCCCCCAAACTGGACATCAACTCCCCTCAAGAATGACTGGCTGTGCACGTGGGGGGGAGGGGGGGGGGGCACCATTATCACCCTGTGGTTTACTTGACCCAACCCAAGGAGCAAAACGGAAACGGCCAACGCCCGTCGAACCGATTCGCTTCGTTAGGTCCCGGGCTTGGAGCCCAGGAAGGGCACCATCATCACCCCGAAGCCCTCGGCCTCGGAAGGGCGCCCCGGTCCCCGTGGGTCCCCACGGGAAGCCGACGTGTGCGGCTGATGTGTGCAGCCGAGCCAAACCAACGGATTGGAGCCAAAACGGAGAAGACAAAAATAAACGTGGCAACTGGCAATCTGCTGCTTGAGTCAGTCAACCCGGTCCCGGCCATGCCTTGGGCCAACCACCTGCCTCAACATGTTGAAAATGCGTTTGTTTCAGCATCCACCCACAAACACCTTAGTCTGCTCCTCCCACCCCGCAAACCACCACAAAACTCCGGATTCCGTCGATTTTCTTCCCAGAAGTGGATTGGGTCTCCCGCCCGCGCCCGGACCACCCCTGGCACCGGGTGTAACCCTCCATCGATGTCGCCTCCGGCAGGGCCATCGCAAAGTTCAGGCCACTTCGCCCGTCCCGCGTCTCAAGGCCCACCTTCGCCGACATCCGCTTCGACCGCTTCGGCAGGCGCTGGTACCTCGCTCGACTGCGGAGACCCCACGGGGGCGTGAATCCGTTTTGGTTCTGGCACCATCCTTGCTGGGGTTGCTTTAGAGAAACAAAGGGAAAACCTGCCAAGTAAAGGACTCCTGATCCCCCTTCAAAGCAGCGTCCCGATGAGAACACTGGCAAAAGGATATGCAAGGCCTGCCTGTGAGGCAGAATTTGGGAAATACAACCCCAAAAAGTGGATCTGGGAAAAAGGGCACCCTAGTGGTTTGTCAAGGGACCCCCCCCTTCAAAAAAGAAGGAAAAGAACAGGCACCACCAGGTCCGGGAAACAACCGCGTAATGTACCTGGGTAAGATGCGTTCGTTCCCACCCAAACGCGCCACTGCAATGTGTGACCCTGCACAAGATTAGTATCACGATCCCTGCAGGGTACAATTCCCCAATTCTTGGCTGGACCCATTGAAGTTGCATCCTCAAAATTGCCCTCTGAATCCTGGTAAGGCCCTCATCATGGTAAAAGGGACTTGCGAAAGTAGTTTAGAACCCCTCAAATGCAACCACTTTAAGTGACCCACAAACAGGCCCTGAAATATCACTGCAAGTGCGGCCCAAGCTGCTGCACCTCAATGCACCCATCCTCATAGAGCCGCACTTCACAGGACACCACGGCGCTGCTATCCTCGCTTGGGACAGTCGGACAGCGATGGACAGTGAGACCCCCTCGAAACGACGTAATCCTCCCCGAACCCCCCAATTCCCCTGAGATACCTTGCGCTGAGGAAACTGAGGGTGGGGGGAGTTGGAATCCCAGGGCAAACGGCTTCGTTCAAATTGGGAAACGCGCTGCAATGCAGAATCACTCCAAAACGGCAAATATCATCAATTACCCACCCCCAAGGTTTTCACGGGATTCACAGCCATTACATGGCCACAATACGGCATGTACCCTGTTCTGCTAGGGGTAGTTTGGGGGTGGGACTCGTAGACTTTTCCAGGCCGGGGCGCGTAGCGGTGCTCGAAGTCCTTAAACTGCACCACGGTGGCGTTGCCAGCCCCACACTGCGGGCGCCCATCCGGCTGTGGAACCGCTGCCAACCGCCCTGACACGAAACGGGGTAGGGGGATCGCACCGATCCAAAGGGGTCCCTGAAAAAGTATCCTCTCAAGAAGCTTCCAGCAAGAAGTTGTCCCCACATGCAGGGCGCTCAACATTTTCATGCCTCACCAGAACCTCCAAAGCGTCCCCAGTGTCTGTCCTGTGTCCCCAACAAAAACCCCTGGCCAACCCCCACCCCCCAGCCTCCCAACCCCCACGCCTGTGAGCAGCGCGCAGTTCTGAGCCTTGCGGCACCACAAGTCGTCCCAATAGGCCGCGACCAAACCATTCGGCAGCGCCGCCGAAGGCAGCTGGCCCCAGTAGTCCCGGCCTATCACGCAGACCCAGAAGATCCAAGCGGGATACCTTTTTTACCCTCTGCCTCCAAGGAGGGCCTGTGCGATTCCATGTTTGGGTGGTGGGAAGTTGGTTGCTTCCCAGTGTTGTGCACATCTTGGTATTCTGCCATAACTCACTAGCATTGTAAAGTGAGAGAGTGCGGACTGAAAGCTGTCACCGTTTGCTGGAAGGGCTCTTTTGACAAATTCCCTTCCCCCAAAGCGCATGTGAACCAGCAATGTCAACATTGCAAATATAATCTAAGCAGGCGGAAAAGGGAAACATGCGACAGCAGTTGGTGGCAAACCAGTCCAGCCTTGCAAACCAAGCACGTCGAACTGACAAGTCTAAACCTAACGGAATACCATGCGTCCGGACAATGTGCAGCAGTCCAGCCCGGACAGGGCGGAATTCCAACCCCCTGCCATGTTCCAATGGGGAAACGGGACTGTCAGCCCCCCGTTTGCGATTATCTTCCCACCCCCCCACCCCCTACCCACAAAGAAATCAAGCAAAGCCTCTGCCTCCGGGACAATCTCTGCAAGAACAAAGCCCAATCAATGAGTTGTTCATGATAGAACTGCATGATGTGCGGCTGTGGCAACTGCCCTCTCACCAACAAACATGGAAGCACACACACCCCTTTTGGAAGACTGCTTTCCTTTTGGGAAGGGAATATGTGCACTTCCATCATTGTTGGCAAGAGGGTAACCCTTTCTGTGATACCAAGGTGAGCCCTACAAATAATTTACCCAGGGATCTCATAAGTTCCACCGCGGGAATGGTGGACCTGGGGCCTATATTGCTAAACTTCCTTTTTTTGGGCTTGGGCCTACAACATAGCCTCTATGTGTTCATGGGCTCTTCCCCGCTGCTCCCTTCCTGGCGCCTGGCTGATAGGTGCTGGCGTCCGGCGCCACGGCAAGCAAGCCGTTGGAGGACATCTGCACGTCCTGACTCCGAGCCAACCCCGGCGCGAACTCGCTGCGAGCTCATCGTACGATGGCTGCTACCCAACTTTGGGTGCAGGAAAACGTCGCGACCTGCACTGGGAGGAAAGGGGTGCTACGCACATCTGGCACAGAAGGCACACCGCACCTGCACAGGCTGTCCAAAGAAGGGCAGCGGCCACGACAGGTCCAGAGGCACGGCGTCGTCATCCACATCCTCAACACCGCAAGCTTGAGCCCGTGGAGGCGCTAGGTTTACCTTGTGCAATCATTTACTGGATTGTTGAAATGGGCCAACAAGAGAAAGAATCAAAGGGCTAAAAGGTCGATTCCCTTCGAACACGCAAGGCAAGGCTGAGTTCAGGCCATTTCGCCCCAAGCCAACCCTGCTCAATTCGACCGCCCCGCCTGCGCGAAGTGGCCGTTGTGCAAACCCAAGGTCCAGGAGAAGG